AAACATCTGTGTTGGAAGAAGTATAGTCAGAATGCTCCTTAGAAGCCAGGATGGCCAGACTTCATCTCTCATATTTTGGACCAACCAACTCGATAGCACTCAACAGTGACAATCAGGAAGTACTGGTCTCTGGAGAAGGACATCATGCTTGGTAAAGTGGAGTGTCAGCCAAAAAGAGGAAGACTCCCAACGAGATGAATTGGCACAGTGGCAGCAGCAGTGGGCTCAAGCTTAACAATGATTTTAGGTATGGAGCAGGACCTGGCAGTGTTCCATTCTGTTGCTTATAAGGTCGCTATGAATCAGTACTGACCAACAGCACCTAACAACAAGAACATGTAAAACCAACAGCCAACATCACTCTCAGTGGAGAGAAATTGGAAAGCATTCTTGTGAACAGGAACCAAAAAAATATTGAACCTATTCAATATTGTGCTGGAAGTCTTAGAGCTAAGAAAGGGAAAATAAAGGGATCCAAAGTGACAAAGAAGTAAAATTCTATTTGCAGATGATATCCTATAAATAGAAAATCCACAAATTCAACAAGAAAATACTGAAACTGAATGAAAGATTATGCAAAGTGGCAAGGTGCAAAAAGCAACATCCAAAAATTTGTTGTTTTTTCACTGAGAGCTCTGAAAAGGAAAACAATACCATTTACAGGAGACACCCAAAAGATGGAATATTTAGGAATAAATCTAACCAGAGAAACAAGACCTATATGAAGGAAACTACAAAACATTACTACAAGAAACCAAGGAGACCTACAAAAATGGAAGCAATATACTATATTTGTGGATAGGAAGAGTTTATATTGTGAAAATGTGAACACTATCCACAGAATCTATAGGTATAATGCAATTCCAATCCAAATTCTAGCATTCTTTCTTTAAAGAGAAAAACTAATACTAACTTTCTGTGGAAAGGAATAAGCAAAGCACTACTAAAAATGAAGAACAAAGTAAGGGGCCTCTCACTTCCCAATCCCTAAACTTACCCCACAGCCACAGTAGTCAAAACAGCCTGGTACTGGTACAGTGAAAGTCACATGGATCAGTGAAACAGAACTGAGTCCAGAAGTAAGTCCATCCATATATAGTCAGCTGATCTTTGACAAAGAACCCAAATGTATTAAATGGGGAAAGGATAGTATCTTCAACAAATGGTGCTAGCAAATTTGGACATCCATTTACAGAAGAATGAAAAAAGACCCATACCTCACACCATATACAAAAATTTGAACTCAACATTAATTAAAGACCAAAATGTGAAACCTAAAACTACAAAGATTATCAATGGAAAAAATAGGAACAAACTTAGGGGCTCTGGTACATGGCATAAATACCCTATCAAACATAGCAGAAGATAAAACAGATGACTGGGACCTTCTAAAAATTAGACACTTAAGTGCATTAAAAGATTTCACTAAGAGTCAAAAGAGAACTCATAGACTGGTAAATAAATTTTGGCAATGACATACCAGACAAAGGACTACTGTCCAAAATGTATAGAATACATCAACACTCAATAAGAAGACAATCCAATTTTAAACTGGCCAGAGGACTTGAACAGATATTTCACTAAAGATGACATTCAGGTAGCTAACAAACTTGAAGAAATGGTCAAGATCATTAACAATTGATAGTAGTGGTGGTGTGCCATAGAGTCTGACTCATAGAGACCTTGCATAGGCTTTCTGAAGCTATAAATCTTTCTGGGAGCAGAAAGTCTTATCTTTCTCCTGAGGAATACTGGTAGTTTTAAACTGCTGACCATGAGGTTAGCAGCCCAATTCGTAACCACTACACTACCAGAGCTCCTTCATGAGCTATTGGTAAATTGTTAAGTGCTGTCGAGTCTATTCTGACTCATGGTGGTGATATGTTGTGGAGTCGGTTCTGACCCATAGCAACCCTGTATAGGGTTTCTAAGGAGTGGCTGGTGGGTTTGAACCACCAACCTTGTGGTTAGTAGTGCAGTGCTGATCCTACAGTGCCATACCAGGAAGAAGGTTGTTACTGTTGTTAAGTGCTGTTGAGTTGCTTCTAACTCCTAGCAATCCTGTATAGGGTTTATGACCTTGCGATTTAAACGAACCTTGCAGTCCAGCACATTAACCCACAGTGCCACACCAGGAAGAGGGTAAACCCATGTTAACTTGGATGAAGGGGAAGGCAATATAGAAGAGGGAGTTTGGCACAGGAAAGATGAAGGTAGTGTAAGACACTGGGAGGAGTGCAAGAGTTAAACAGATAGAGGTAAGTACTGGTAGCCGTAATAGTTACGAATTAGGCTGTGAACCGCAAGGTCCGCAGTTAGAAAGTGCCAGCTGTTCTGCAGGAGAAAGATAAGGCTTTCTGCTCCTGTAAAGATTTACAGCCTCGGAAACCCTGTGCAGGGTTGCTATGAGTCAGAACCGACTCCACGGCACATAACAACAACTGTTAACTGAAGGAGTCCTGGTGTGGTTCTGTGGGTTAATGCGCCAGACTGCAAAGCCGTTTGAACTTCAAGGTTGGCAGTTCAAGCTTACCAGCTGCTCCTTGGAAACCTTATACAGGGTCGCTATGGGTCGGAACTGACTCGACGGCACTTAGCAACAACAACAACTGTTAACTGATGGTACATAGAAGGGATTGCAATCATTGTAATGACCGAATTGTATGTATTTGTTGAATGTGAGACTGATGATCTATTCTGTAAACCTTCACTCAATTCACAAAAAGTTAAACAACAACCAAAAAGTAAAGGGAGAGAATCATCAGGACTTGTGATTGATTAGATGTAGCAGGTGGGGGCGAGAAAGAAATCAAGGGTAAACCCTAAACTTCAGGTTTGGCAGATAAGTGAATGAATGATTTTGTCAGTCAGTGAAACAGTAAAAGATGCGTATTTTGTAGATGAGCACAGATTGGAGACAATATCATGAGTTTGGGGTATATATATATATATATATATATATATATATATTTTAAGGTTTTTATTGTGAATTGAGTGAAAGTTTACAGGGCACATCATCAGTTTCACATTCAACCATTCATATGACTTGTTTCATTACATTGATTATAATCCCCTCCATACATCATCAGTTAACAGTGTTTCTCTCTATCCTCCTTAGCTTTTTTTTGGGGGGGGTGGAACTTTGCCTTTTTGGAATTTACAGTCTTGGCTTTTAGGGAAGGTTTTTACATTTATCTGTGGATATCCAGGGCTCATGTATGCGATTACTAACAAGCATAACTGAATAATCAGATGAGGGACAGTTTGCTATGTCTGCTAGGTGGCTAAAGTCTGATCCTCAGAGCCTATGGTTTGGACGGTCTGCAACGCTTGGGCCCATAGGGCCTTGAACTCCTGGTGGGGTAGATATAATTTGACTGGCCTTTCTGAGTAGTAATTAGCATGCATTTGGACCTATGGATCTGAAACCACTCACTACCTACCACCGGTATATTCCTGACTACTATATACTGGCTTGGGGAGTCAAAAGCATAGAGGTGAGAAAGTAAAAAGTCAGCAAGCATTTACTGAACACATACAAAGTTCAGTCACTTTTCTTTCCTAAATGTTAGGGTTATACGGGGAACATGGTGGCTCCATAAGATAAGCACTGGACTGTGAGCCACAAGGTCCGCAGTTTGAGCCCATCAGGCAATTTGCTGGAGAAAAATGAGGACTCCTGAGAAGATTTTAAAAGCTTCTGAAACCCTATACAGGATTGCTGAGTCAGAACGAACTCAATGGCACTTAATAACAACAGGGATACACTAATGAATATGACAATGTCTGTCTCTCCTAGTTGGGGAAGACAGGCACATGTTAAGTACCCTCAAGTCAGTTCTGACTCCCAGCAAAACTGTATAAGGTTTCTGATGAGTGCTTGGTGAGACTGAACTGTTGACCTTTCCATTCAAACCAATCTTGTGGTCCAGTGCTTATCCTACAGCGCCATTCCAGGACTCTGATAGGCAAGTAGATATACAGAGTAACATTAACTCTAGTAAGTCCTTTATTGGAGTTCTGTTGTGGTGCTGTGGGATAAGCACTGATCCATAAGGTCGGTTTGAACTGCAAGGTTGGCAGCTCCAACTCTCCAACTGCTCCTCAGAAACCCTATACAGGAGTGCACTATGAGTTGGAACTGACTGGACAGCGCTTAACAAGTCCTGTATAGAAAATGATCAGAGTAAGGAGTTAGGGAGGATGAGTAATGCCTCTTTTTGGTAGGTGACTTGGGGAAGATCTCTAAAGAGGTAACATTTGAGCAAAGCCCTAGAGGAAGGGACAGAATGGGCCAGATGGCTATCTGGGAATATAGGCAGGAAGAAACAGCAAGTCTGAGGTGGGGCAGAAGTAAAGTAAGGAGGGAGTGGTAAAGTGTTGAGGTAGGTCAGGGGCAGACCCTGTTTCTAGGCTTTGGGAAGGAGGATATTAGCGTCCTTTGTAGATGGCCCCATGCTGTTGATAAGGCAGAGATTGGAGAGGAGGAGAGAATCTATGAAAGATGATTTTCTCTTCCTCAAAGAGAAACCAGAAAAGCCCCTTTGTGCACAGGGTGGGTGGCCTCTTCTGGTTGGAGAAAGAGCAGTGCTTCTTCCTAAGGTTTGCTCCTTGGGGAACTGGACAATGGAACCCCTTGTGATCAGACTGGGGGCTAAATGCCCCCTTCAATGATGTGATTCCTCAGCTATGAAACATGTGACCCCAAGACCTTGGCTTCTTGCCAGAGGGTCTGGACTAGCTGCCGGTGGTAGGGGTAGGAAGGCATCTCCACTTGGAAACAGTGCCCTGCCCTGTCTGAGGCTGGAGCGGGTGGAGAGATGGGTAGGGAGGGGGCTGTGGTCCTGCTTGGGGTGCAGGGAAATGCTGGGGAGCTGGGAGCTAAAGGCAACATCAACAATTGAGGAGGGAGGAGCTGGCCACCCCCAGGTCCAGTGGGGAGGTGGAGACAGAAGAGGGCCTAGCAAACCTCAGTCTTGTGTCCTTTCAGAAGTGAGAGCATGGAGCTGGAGAAGATCGTCAGTGCAGCCCTCCTTGCCTTCGTCCAGATGCATCTCCCTGAGGCCGACCTCAGGTAGTGGCAGCTCCCCTAGAAGGGGACCATGCTAGGACTAGCATCGAAGCTGTGGGACAGTACTGTAAACCCTGGGCACTGGAAAGACAGGTGGAGCACTCAGTCATCTGCCTGAGGTGGGGTGGGCTTGCCCCTCATCTATCCCTGTGACTCTTATTGGACAGAGGAGAAAACAAAGCTCTGAGGGAGGAGAGTGGGAGACCCTCTGGCTTTAAGGATTGAGGTTGATGTCTGGCTCATGGGCCCCAGGAAGGTGAGGGCTAGAGTCTCAGGCTCGATAACAGTTCTAGAGAGATCTAGTGTCCTACCCAAGGCTTGTACTGTCTCCTCTCTGCAGTGGTTTGGATGATGTCATCTTCTCTTACGTTCTTGGGGTCCTAGAAGATCTGGGCCCCTCAGGGCCCTCAGAGGAGAACTTTGACATGGAAGCCTTCACTGAAATGATGGAGGCCTACGTGCCTGGTTTCGCACACATCCCCAGGTAGGGCCTGACTGGGGTCAGAAGGAGGAGGGGACTTGCTAACTGTGGGGAATGAGTGGAACCGTCCCTTTACCACCCTTTTTATCTTCTTAGGAGCACAATAGGGGACATGATGCAGAAGCTCTCAGGGCAGCTGAGTGATGCTAGGAACAAAGGTGAGTAGAGGGCTCTGGGGTGATTATAACCACTATCATCCCAAAACCCTGGTAAACCTGCTGCTTTCTTTGCCCCTTTAAGAGAACCTGCAACCACAGCGCTCAGAGTTCCAGGGTCAGGTGCCTTTTCCCCCAGATTCCGTCCAGCAGACTGAAAAGCTCAAAGAAGAGATCAGGTCTTCTCCCACTGCTGCTGGGGACACCCAAGACAAGGTACTTGGGTGTGGTAGAAGAGTGCTTGAGGAAGCTAGGAGGTGAGAAAGGAGGAAGTCCTGCCTCTTCTTAACATTTCTGCCCACAGGCAGCAGGCGCTGAGGAGGAGCTGTTGCCAGGGGTGGATGTACTCCTGGAGGTGTTCCCCAGCTGTTCAGTGGGGCAGGCCCAATGGGCGCTGGCCAAAGCTCGGGGGGACTTGGAAGAGGCTGTGCAGATGTTGGTAGAGAGAAAGGATGGCCCTAATCAGGTACCCCCCAAACACCGCCCACACACCAATGCCATGACTCCGACTTGGCTCTCCCCTTCCCCCTCATATAGCCTCAGCTGCATTCCTACTTGGTGTGTACCCCACCACCCCCTGGAGCCTATTCCCATTGCTTCCCTGCTGCTTGTGTCCCAGAGCCTAGACCAGGCCTCTCTTCTCCACAGGACCTGCCCAGGCGCCTCAGAGACCCCCAGAAGGATGAGCTGAAGTCCTTCATCCTGCAGAAGTAAGACTGGGCTGGGCTGGGTTGGGCTTCAGAGGGTCTTCCCAGGGTGGCAAGAGCTTTACCCAGCCAAGTTTTGGCAGGTACATGATGGTGGACAGTGCAGACGATGAGAAGATTCACCGGCCCATGGCTCCCAAGGAGGTGAGAGGGCTGGGGCTGCTAGGAGTCTGGGGGGGGTGGGTGGGGGTGCTGCTAAGAGTGTGGAGTCGATGTGGGGGACTGTCTCCTGCCACTCACTGCCTGACAGCCTGACTTCCTGACAGGCCCCCAAGAAGCTGATTCGCTACATTGACAACCAGGTAGTGAGTACCAAAGGGGAGCGATTCAAAGATGTGCGAAACCCTGAGACTGAGGAGATGAAGGCCACGTACATCAACCTCAAGCCGGCCAGAAAGTACCGATTTCACTGAGACAAATGCCAGACTCTGCCTGAGTCCTCTCCCCCAAACAGGGGCCTCTTTAACTTCTGACCCTCATTTACTCCCTTGCCCCACAGTGGTAATCTCCTCTGGGAGCTGCCCATGGCCACAGTAAAGGTAGCCTAAGGAAAGTGTGAGTGCATTCTGGTCATTTCTGCCGAAGGGCTAGGGTACTATGTCTGCCCTTCTCTCAACAATCTCACATCCTCTGTCTTCCATAGAGCAGGCAAAGAGGAGGTTGTTAAGTGCTGTCGAGTCCGTTCTGACCCATAGTATAGGGTTTCCAAGGAGCAGCTGGTGAGCTTGAACTGCCGACCTTGGGGATCAAACAGACTTTGCAGTCCAGCACATTAACCCACAGCGCCACAACAGGCCTCGGAAGGGAGTAAAAAGCTCTTTATTTGAAGCTCCAGAGTGGGGTAGGGCACTGACCTCTGACCAGAGGCCCCCATAGTCCAGTCTCCCTACAGCTCACAGTCAGGCCCCCACCACACACAGTCCAGCTGTGCCCTGACCTGCAAGTGGTTCAGACCTGCAGGTTGACAAAAGGTACCAGGCCTGCCATGTCCTGCAGCAGCACCAGGGCCTGGTGCCGCGGCGGCTCCACGTCGATGTCCACACCACGCTTGCGCAAGCGGCTCAGGCTGGGCTCAGCCACATGGTGGCAGTGCCGCACCCGAAGTGATCGAAGCGATGGGCAATACTCAGCCAGTGTCCTAGGAGAACAACGGGGTGAGGCTAGGAGCACAGAGCCGCCACCCCCACAGTGGAGGAGGGGGCGCGGCCCGATCCACTGTACCTACCCCTGGCTTCAGGGATCTCCTTAACTCAGGCCATACTTTTTCCCTCCATACGTAAGGGAGGGGGCTCTAGATTGAATGCCACCAATAAAGCACAAAGACTTCCCGGTCTCTTAAAGGGGAAACCTGCTCCATAGCCTCACCCAGGATTGCAAGACTTCCCCCTTGAATTAAAAAAAGTTAGACTTTGTGTGGGAAATTTCCCAATGTGTAAATATTGGTTCAAAAGGTTTTTAAACTGTGTGGGCGTTTTGGCTCAGACAATCCTAGAAATTTTGGGTTTTTTTTTTTTTTTTTTAGAATGGGGTTGCTGTGATAGCAGGAAGCCCCAGAAGCCCCTGATTCTGCCTGTGTTGGTAACTACAGCTCACCCCTGCCCTTCTACCACCCTACGAACCCACAGGCCCAGGCACCTGACACTGTCGCTTCCGACACGGAGGCAGCCGGTGAGGTCGAGGTGCTCTAGTTTGGGGCAGTTCCGAGCCAACTCCTGAACAGCAGTGTCGCCCACATTAGCGTTGACAGCCAGTGAGAGGCTTCGAAGGCCTGCGCCGCGTTTCTGGGTCAGGTACACGATGGCCTCGTCCTTTAGTTGACGACAGGCAGTTAGGTCTAGCTCCTCCAGGGCCGGGCAACGATCCGCTAGGCCGCGCAGCGCCAACCCGTCCACCCAGTCACAGTGCGCGAGCGACAGGCGCTGCAGGCGGGGGCAGCCCTCTGCCAATGCCCCTAATGCGCGGCGGCTCAGTTGCCCGCAGCCAGCCAGCGCCACACTCCGCAGCTGCAAATTCCGTGCCAGCACCGGCACCAGGTCCTCATCTGACAGCCATTCGTGACAAGGCGACAGCACCAGTTCCTGCAGTCCCTCGGAGTCCCGCAGAAGCCGGGTCAATGCATCCCTCGGGATCTGGGGACCCACCTGTGGGCGGAGGTGAGTGGGTGGGATGGGCGGTGCCTGTCGGCCCCTTAGGAATTCTTCCATGGAAGCTGTTCATGTTCAGGACTGGCTACTTGCCCCCCAAGGAGAGGCCCCACTCACCCTCTGAGTCCCTACCTGCACCTGCATTTGAGTACTCTCTCCACTTCTCTAGTCGCTTCCCGGGCAGCCCTTCAGGAACTGGGGTTGAGGCTCAGGCCTGGGACTCACCTGAGTGGCATCAAAGCGGCGCAGCCCCTCCAGGTGCAGCTGCACTAGCGCTCGGAAGGCACGGCTGACGCGCTGCAGCCGGAGCAGCTGTCGCAACGGGACCCGACTCAGGACGTGTGGGAGCAGCACGTCTTCCCAGGGCAGGTCCAGGAGCCTACGGATAAAGGAGCGCTGGCGGCAGCGTCCTAAGGCCGCTCTGCTACCTGCGAGTTCTCGGCCGTTCTAACTATGCCCCAACTCAGCAGCTCCTAGGAGTGGTCCCCAGACCCAATCGGACTTAGCTCCCCTCCCAAGTCCTCTCCTCCACCTCGGACCCTCCAGTCCTCGGTACCTGACGGCTCCGGGTTCTTGCTCCCCTCCGGACGTCTCCATCCGTGGCTCCATAGAGTATCTAATACGCATGCGCAGTAAGGTATCCTTGCATCCGCCTAGAGCAACCAGCGAGAACCCGCCTATTTGGGCTGTAAAGACAGACAGACTCAATCGAATACCGTTTCACTGAGGATCCTATCTGAAAACCTTCCGGATGGACTCTCAAACCGGAACAGACCGGTGGTCTAACACTAGACTTTGCCTTCTTAGTTACAGGGCATGAGGCCAGAGTTAGAGAACGAAGAGGCCAGCAGAGACTGTCTTCTATCTTCCTTTTGGGCCAGTGGCCACCTCGAAGTGAAGTGGTAATGGGAGGAGCAAGCAAGGCCGAACGCAGAAGAGGGCGGAGACAAGACTCAAAGGTTTCAGTTCTACCTCTCCCGCCCCCTGGTGATTTTGAAAAACTATAAAAAACTGCCCAGGTTGTTACTGCTTGACACGTAGTAGATACCCTACAAGTAACTGTTGAATGAGTGAGTGGGCAAGCAATAATTTGTCTTCTTTCACCAAACAAACTTGCCCAGACTTCCTATTTCTGGTTGATTGTGATGTACAGTGCTATCCAGTCTCATTTACTCCGTCTGAGACAGTATGGACCGCGTTTATACCCGAGGAAGAGACAAAAGGGATGGTGAGCAGGACTGTTTCTCCAGGAGGATCCCTTTCCTTCCCCCCAGAGACCTGAAAAGAATAAGTACTCGGCTCAGTCTGCTAGGGATACTGCCTGGGGGTTTAATTATGGGGCCTAGGGCTGGGCCAGGTCTGGAACAGTTACGCTCCAGAGTTCTGTGCTCAGTCTCTGGGGCACCCTTCCACCAGGTCCTAATTCCCGGGTCCGCGCAGGAGAATTCTGGCGCAGTTCTTTTTCCTGTTATCCTTAGGAGGTAGGTGGGGTGAAGAGCCCTGAAGGCCTCAATAGCAGTCGCTGCCTACAGCAGGGTTGCGCACTTTCCCATGGTGCAACCTTTACACCTGCTTCTTCATAACAAACAAGCTTTCCGTCCGTTATCTCATCAGGGCTTGGGGCACCTCTGCAAGGTGGGCAGGACTATGCTGTCACTTCATTAAAAAAAAAAAGAAAAGAAAAGAAATCAAGGTCCTGGAGAGGGACGGAGAACCCAAGCATCCTTATTTTCCCAGAACCCCTTCCACGCTCCATCCCACCCCCACCCCCATGCGCCGAGAAGGGATAGGCCCGCTGCGGGGGGAAGGACTAGAAGAGGTCAGGCTGTAAGAGGAACCTGCTTCCTCTTCTTCATCCTGTTTGGGGAGGGGGCAGCTGAGAGGACTAACCTCCGCTAGGATAGGGCTACGAGAGCGCGCTCCACTTCGGGCCGCGCGCCTTCTCCCCCTCCTCGCTTTGTTTGCGCTTTCGCGCCTGCGCAGTGCGACAAATCTGCCGCTGTCCCCTTCAGCACCACGCAGAACCCGCGCCGCGGTGAGCTCCGCGCGCCCCCGCCTCATACGTCCCTGTACCCCCGACCACCCGGACGGACCCCTAGTTTCTTCCGAGATCACCACCTGGCCGTCCCAATGAAAGTGGTCACCATAGTAACTTGAATGGCGCTTTCTTAAAATAGCGGTGCCCCCTTCTATCCTCGCCAAGGGCACATGCGGAAAAAGGTTGCCTGTCCCGCACTTCTTCTGGTCACGGGGTCTTCTCGCCTAACCTCTCACCCTCAGGAGCCCTAACTCCTAACTCAGGAATCAAGGAAGTTCTTTCTGAAGTCTGACTAACATCCTTCCTGCTGCATCCTGGGTAGTTGGTCAGGATCGAGTCTCATCCGGAGGGGTTGAGGCGTTTGGGGTTGCCTAGTTCTTCCCTCCATTAAATTGATGATCTCCTGATTCTAGGGGCGGGTCTGTCTACACCCATACCGTGTGTTTGGCGTGGCCGCGTGCTCGTGGGGGCGGGAGCGCGTGTGCCATGTAACAGGTCATGTGGCACCTGCCTAGGGACACGCGTGGGGTCTGGAGCGGGACATGCATGTGCAGCTGTACCCTGCGTGTGGCTCAGAGGGCAGTGGGCGAAAGAGACCTGGACGCGAGTGGGGTGGGGCATGTGAGGGTCTGGGAAACAGTACCTAGGGTTCCAAACACCCTTCCACTTGTCAGGGGCGGATCTCAGGTTGGCGGGAGAGCGCAGTGGGGACCCGGCGACGAGCAGGGGTAGGCCCCAGGGCTCAGGGCCCCGGGGAAAGGGGGTTGGTGGTGGTGGTGTGCGGATTAGCGTCGCTGGAGCGGCGTAGGGGGGAGGGGGAGGGACTGAGAGGCGGGCGGGCCCGGAGCTAGCGGGAGCCGCGCTGCCTTCACCGCTGAGCTGGGCCCAACCTCTCTCCCTTGCCTCTCCTCGGCCCCAGCTCTTGGCGAGTAGCGGTGAGTACTGAGGTGGCTCTGAGTAGGGGCGGCACAGGGAATGCGCTGGGGGGGTGGGGGAGGGTTCGAGTTACTGGAGCCTGGTAGGGTGGCTGCTCTTGACCTCTTCTCCTACCCTGCATTGCCTCTAGAAGCCCCATTACCCCACTGGGCTCCCTCCAGGGCTGGACAGGATGAGAACGATCTGTCATGCACCTTGGGGTTGGGGAGTGGAAGAAGGGTCTGGCGCAGCAATCCCTATCACTCTAGGACCTGTGACACCTGGGGTAGCGAAGTGGTGGGAGGAGGTGTGTGTATCACTGATAAGTGTCTAAGTGTGCATATGCATCTGTGTGTGATTGTGCACCGGCAGGTCTCCATGTCTGGTACACCTGTGTGTGCATAGAGAGTCAGGGCCCGTGCATATATTTGGGCATCTCTTTGTGTGTTCTTGTCTGTATGATAGTGTGTTTGTATGGCAGTGTGTGTAAAACAAGCATGTGCCTTTCCATTACACACATATTTGTTATGCCTGTGAGTGTGTGAGGGTGTGTCTTTGAGCTGTGTGTGTGCTGGAGGGTATTGTCTGAGAATGTGTTTAATTGTGTTTTCTATAAAGGTACAGATGCATACACATATACCCACATCCTTATGTATGCTTCTATATGTGGGTATATGTGTATGCATCTGTACCTTTATAGAAAACAAGAATGTCCCTTTCTCACTCAGTTTGTATGTATTGGGGGTTGGGTCTTCTATTTAGGCCCTTCTCCTCCTCTCCACCCTGTGCCTCTCAGCCCCTCGTTGTCCCTATATAACCTCTTCAACTTTTCCTCCTTTCCTTTCAAGGGGCCTGAGTTCCCCCTCCCTGAGTGAGGGGCCTCCAGAAGAGGGACTGTGGGGGACCTAGGGCTCTACAATGGTGATGGCTGGCTGGCACCCCTGTTCCAGAGGGTGGGGTGCCAGTTTCTCCCCACCAGAAGCCACTTCTAAGTGCTACAGAGACTCTGGGCTCACCCATCTTCTGAAATAGCTTCCTCTGTCCTCTCAGGGTGAGCTCACGGTCTCTGGGCAGGAGAGGGTCCAAGGGTACACCGGATGGCAGTTCATTTCTCCTCAGGCTTTCATTAAAGGAACCCAAGCAGGGGACCAGATCACCTTCAGGGTGGGATCATATTCCCAGGGTGGGCTAGGCCCCTGGTGCTCAGAGTCCCCTTGCCCTTGCTCTCTTCCCCATCCAGCTCTCCTGCAGTTCACCCCTTGCTCCCCTTCCTCTCTTGTAGGCCTGTCTGAAGAGCATGCTGCCCCTTCAATTCCCGCCTGGCCTTGCCATCCCTGCTCCCCCAGCCTGACCCCCGGCCCCAGCATGGCCCAGGGTGCCATGCGCTTCTGCTCGGAAGGCGACTGTGCCATCTCCCCTCCACGATGCCCACGCCGCTGGCTACCCGAGGGCCCTGTGCCCCAGAGTCCCCCAGCCAGCATGTATGGCAGCACAGGCTCCCTGCTACGTCGTGTGGCAGGTCCAGGTCCCCGGGGCCGGGAACTGGGCCGTGTGACGGCACCTTGTACGCCCCTGCGTGGACCTCCCTCACCCCGTGCTGCTCCCTCACCTTGGGCACCCTCTTCACCCACCGGGCAGCTCCCACATGGGGCCCAAAGCTCTGTGGTCATCTTCCGACTTGTGGAGAAGGCCAGCGTGAGGCCACTGAATGGGTTACCTGCTCCTGGAGGCTTGAGTCGGAGCTGGGACCTGGGTGAGGTCTCTCCTCCAAGACCCACCCCAGCCCTTAGACCTGGCTCCAACCGGAAGTTGCGGCTGGAGGCATCTGCATCAGACCCACTTCCAGCTGGAGGAGACTCTGCCCTGCCTGGCAGCCGAGGCCCCTTAATCGGGCCCCCCACCCCACCCCAGGTTGGGGCAGATGGCCTTTACTCCTCTCTCCCCAATGGGCTGGGGGGTCCCCCTGAGCACCTGGCCACACTATTCCAAGGACCTGCCCACACAGGATTCCTGAATCAGGTATGTGACCCCCTTGGACTCCCTGGGGCCTCAGAACCTCAATGAAAGGGCAAAACTTGGCTATCTGGTAGACTTGGGCCTATCTGCAGTTTACCCTGAATCCTTCAGACTGTCTTAAATATTTTTCTTGCCCTCTGTTTGTGTCTGTGTCTCTGCACCTCCATCTCTGCCCATGTGTTTCTTTCTGTGCTTCTGACCCATGTTCCTGTATCTATGTCTGACTTTATCTCTGGGTGCCTGTGTCTGTCTCTTTCACCTTGGCTCAGGGAGACACCTGGTCATCCCCCCGGGAGGTCTCCTCTCATGCCCAGAGAATCGCTCGAGCCAAATGGGAATTCTTCTATGGCTCCTTGGACCCCCACAGCTCAGGTAAGACCTAGGACTGAGGCAAGAGGAATGAGGACAGGGCGTTCCCCAGAGCAGCTGGGCCTTGGAAGGGAGCCTTCCTTGAAACCTCCCCCAACCCTTTCCTGGTTGAATTGGCAAAAGTCTCTCCAGTCCTAATCCTTCCCACCTGTGTTATGAAGGGGGCAGCTCAGGGTTAAGGGCTGGGTTAGGCACCTGGAAGAAGCTGGCTAGTGGAAGGTGGTGGTTGTTAAGTGCCGTGGAGTCGGTTCTGGCTCATAGTGACCCTGTACAGGGTTTCCAAGGCAATAAATCTTTATGGGAGCAGAAAGCCTCATCTTTCTTTCATGGAACAGCTGGTAGTTTCAAACTGCTGACCTTGAGGTTCACAGCCCGACTCGTAACCACTATGCTACTAGAGCTCTGTAATAAGAGGAGGGGTTGGGAGGATATCAAGGGTCATTACTGGAGGAGAAAAGAAGCAGCTCTCTCACAGACCCCACAAGACTGTTATAAGTGAAGGTCATTAGCACTGGGAACAAGCTGAGTTCATAGTAAGAGGAATGGAAGAACTTGCTGCCAGTCTGAGCTCCAGGTCAGGAGATCATCCAGAACAGCAGCAGGCTAGGGCTCTGCCCTGGATGATCTTCTGACCTGGATGTCTATGTGTCCCACAGGTGCTAAGCCCCCAGAGCAGGCCCCTCCATCTCCACCCAGGGCAGGCTTATGGCAGGGCTCTGGGGTGGCTGTGGGGCGAGCAGCCAAGTACTCCGAGACGGACCTGGACACGGTGCCTCTGAGGTGCTACCGCGAGACGGACATCGATGAGGTGCTGGCTGAGCGGGAAGAAGCTGATTCAGCTATTGAGAGTCAGCCCAGCTCAGAAGGCCTGCCTGGCACTGCCCACCGTCCTGCCTCACATCCTGGCCCATGCCCTGGCCCTTGTCCCAGCAGTGGCAGTGAGGAGGATGCAGGCAGGGAAGAGGATGTGGAAGATGAGGTGTTTGAAGCCTCAGAAGGGGCCCGGTGAGTGGGGGAGGCAAGGAAAAAGTAGATTGTTCCTTCTCACCGACCCAGAAGCAGAGTTGGGATGGAAACAAGGGTGGAACCGGGAGGTTGAGGACCAAGGTGGGGTTCCTGACAGGGCGGTGTGGGTAACAGAAGATTCAGAACAGAGGTTTAGAACTGGCAGAACACAGGGGTTGTGAGAGGCAAGAACCCAGGCGGGGTGGGGGCAGTCAGAAGGCAGGGCAGTGAGAGTTTCTCTAACAGGACAAGGGGTAGGGCTTGAGGCTGGAGGCCTGATCTAAGCCTGGGGTTTGGGAGCATCAGTCCTGATCTTGGGTCTTGGCGGGAGAGTGGGGTATGTGGGGGGCTTTTGTCTCCTGTCTCACACCCCACTGCAACTTAGAGACTCATCTTCTTCTCCTAAGATGTTGCCAGAAATAGAAATGGGATGGCAGGAGGGGAGCAGATCAGAGAGGAGGAGGAGAAAGGGAGATTAGTAAGAAAGGAGAGAAGGAGGGAGGAAGGGAGGCAGAGGATTGGGTGCTGGGCAGCAGGCCTGGGGTGTCCAGGGATACCAAATAGCCTGTGGAACCTGTAGTAAGGACAAGGGGCACCGGAAGTAGGGGCACTTCAGCACCAGGGTCAGGCAGGGTCAGAGGTATGAATCTTGGTTCTCCAGCCTGAGATAAAAGGCCTCTCCTTTCTTTGGACCTCACTCTCCCTGCCTTTGAAATGGGGATGGAATTATTGTGAAAACTCAATCAAATTCAGTCCAAGATTTGCTCTCTAAGCACGAGTGGTGCCCCTACTCACACATTCTCCCTACCCCTGCAGGCCAGGGGTCCAAATGCCTCATCCTGGGCCACTCAAATCTCCAGTGCCCTTCCTACCTGGGACCAGCCCCTCCGCTGATGGGCCTGACTCTTTCAGTTGTGTGTTCGAAGCCATCCTGGAATCACACCGGGCCAAGGGTACCTCCTACACCAGCCTCGCCTCACTGGAAGCCCTGGCCTCACCTGGCCCAACCCAAAGCCCCTTCTTCACCTTTGAGCTGCCTCCCCAGCTCCCTGCCCCTCGGCCTGACCCACCTGCTCCTGCCCCACTTGCCCCTCTTGAGCCAGATTCCGGTACCAGCTCTGCAGCTGATGGGCCTTGGACACAGAGAGGGGAGGAGGCAGAGACCGGAGCCAAGGTGACCCCAGGGAGGGAGCCCTGTAGTCCCTGCCGTTCAGAGGACAGCTTTGGGCTGGGGGCAGCACCCCTGGGAAGGTGAGTGATTCACTTGGCCCCTCAGACTCAAGGCCTCTAGGACCCCAAGGGACAGCATGAGTACAGGGATGTGGCCTATATCTCTGACCCTTGAATGGGGGTGGTTAGAGAATACAGATGCCTGTTTTCCTATTTGGAAAGACTATGTACTTTCAATGACTTTGAGGGGGAGTAGTAACAGGAACCCCTTTGGTTTCTGACCAAAGAAGACATGATTTGTGATTGAAGAGTCCCCAGAAAGTACCTCCTTTCTACCCAGGTGGGCCCTTTCCTCCCCAGGCAGAGCCTCTATCCTGCTGAGAATTTTTTGTGACCTTACTCCTACCCAGTAGGGAGGTTTCTCCCAAAGATGGAGTGTGTCACCAGCCTGTCCCCTCCCTTCTTTCCATATCATCCCCCTTCCATAATCAAGAGTCCCCCACCCTTCTCCAGGAAGTCCTTTCACCAGTCTAACCTTTATGCTCCCCCCTCCTCTGCCAATTACCCTCTCAGTCATGGAAGCCATGGCAACAGGAGGGGGTGGCCAGGGAGACAGGGTTGCCTAGCAACCAGGAGTTTCCGGCCTCTGTCTCTGGGGTGACAGGTGGCTTTGCTAGTGGAGCAGCTGGGGTGGTAAGGGAAGGGGAGGAGGAGAACCAGGGTGAGGGGGCGCACCCTGACCCTCAATCTCTCCCACTTCAGAGCCTGCTCCTTGGTGGGTGGAAGGAAAAGATGGAGGAGGAGGCTCCTCTCTCTAAAAGGAGAGCAGAATACAGACAAAGGAGCAGGCCTAGGGGTGTCCCTCCTGCTCTCATATCTTTGTCTGACTCTTCACTGTTTCTTCCTGACAGTTTATCCATCCCACCTCTGCCCATATTTTCAGAGATATGGACTGTATTCTGAGTAGGGCCAGTGTGGGAATGGGAAATCTGTCCACTAGCAATCGTATACCCCTGGGAACTTTGGGGATGCAGCCAGAACTCCCACAGCAGCAAGATGATGTGGGTTAGATTTGAGGTAGGACTTTCACAGATAGGTGGTAAGGATGGATAGGCCAATGGAGTTGTTGGTGTTAGTGCCGTCAAGTCAGTTCTGACTCAGAGTGACCCTGTATAGGGTTTCCAAGGAGCAGCTGGTGGGTTTGCACTTCTAACCTTGTGGTTCAAGTAGGCCAATGGAGAGAACTTGTAAAATCTCTTCCTGGGAGAAAAGAATAATGCCTTCTTTCTGCCTTTTGTTCAAATTCCCCATTTTCTGGGTCTGGAAGCAGACAGAGGGTCTGGGTAGCCTGTTAGGGCCCTGTGTCCTTCCTGAGTTGGTGTCCTCCCCCACAGTGAACCACCCCTGAGCCAGCTGGTGTCTGACTCGGACTCAGAGCTGGACAGCACGGAGCGGCTGGCATTGGGAAGTACAGACACCTTGTCCAATGGGCAGAAAGCAGACCTGGAGGCTGCACAGCGATTAGCCAAGAGGCTGTACCGACTTGACGGCTTCAGGAAGGCCGATGTGGCCCGGCACCTGGGCAAGAAGTAAAGCTCTTGGGCTGAGGCTGAGGAGGGGGGCAGGGGATACATTCTGCAGGTAGCAAGTCTGTATTTCCTCCTTCCAACACCCTAGGTCTCTAGGTAATCCCTACCTGACTTCTTGACACTCTCCCTTATAACCACACCTGTCTCTCTGACCTACCCACAGCAATGATTTCAGCAAACTGGTGGCTGGCGAGTACCTCAAGTTCTTTGTCTTCACAGGCATGACTCTGGACCAAGCCCTCAGGTGGGTGATAAGCCCTTTGGAGGTAGCACCCACTCTCCAGGCCTGGTGTGTAGGGCCTCAGCCATGCCCTCTCTAGCCCTCTGTGCCTTTCCCAACCCACTCTAGTACACCCTTCCCAAGCTGATTGGTCGGTGTCAAGGGTCTGGCTGTCTGGGAAAGGAGGTCTGGGGTGGGGGTGATATTCTCTCCTTTTCTCCTCTCCAGGGTGTTTCTGAAGGAGCTGGCTTTAATGGGTGAAACCCAGGAACGGGAGCGTGTGCTGGCTCACTTCTCCCAGCGATATTTCCAGTGCAATCCCAGCGCCTTGTCCTCAGAGGGTGAGGGGGCATGACCACTGCTGTCCTAGCTGGCCTCTGAGGCAGATGGCATGGGCGCCACACTACTTGTATGCATAGAAGCATGAGTGCATTTGTGAACGAGGCAGTGCTTGCATGCTTGTGAGCAGACCACTCCTCTTTACACATGTGTGCAATTCTGGCTGCATGTGTGTGGCATGTTGCCAGAGTCGGTTGTGCATGGTACAGAAGCAGGTGAGTCTCCATGCAGATGTACACATGCTTGTGCCAGACAGTGCTTGGCTTCATTGGGGATTCTGTTTGGCTGCACAGGTCTGCAAGTCTGAGTGGGACAGACTTGCTTGTGGGGTGTGTTTCGTGCAGACAGGAAGCCATGGAATGTGGAGGGCAGCAGTGAGCTTTCACACCTCAGGGATGTAGGGAAAAGTATTTGTTGAAGGATATGCTGCAGAAAGGGATCTTTACTTGAAAGGACCTGGGGAGGGTGGCAGTGTGGAAGGAGTCCCTGGGAAGTGGCCCAAGCTGAACCTCAACTCTCCTGCAGACGGTGCTCACACGTTGACCTGTGCCCTCATGCTTCTTAACACCGATCTCCACGGCCATGTGAGTGGGGAGTGAGCTGGAGGGTGGGAAGTGGCCTGGAAAGTCTAGGACATCCCCAAGTTGACAGCCTCTACACCATCCCTTAGAACATCGGGAAACGCATGACCTGTGCGGACTTCATTGGGAATCTGGAAGGCCTCAACGATGGTGGCGACTTCCCCAGGGAGCTGCTCAAGGTGGGGGGCAGAGAAAGGGAAAAGGAGATGCTGGCAAGTGGAGAATGTAGAGGTGCCAGTCGGGGAGGGGGGAGGAGCCAGTGGGCCCCCAGTTTCTGCCTTAGTAGCTTAGGTTCATGTGACTCAGCCTGGGGACCGCCTCTCCCCCACCCCCAGCTTCCACACGTATGCTTGACAGGGACATGCGCACACTTGTGCAGTTAGGGCAGTGCGCAGCGGGGGAAGGGAGACAGCTCTGGGAAACACGTGACCCGGCAGCTCTGGACCCTGCGTTTGCTCTCAGCAACTCATTTCATTCAGAGCTCATTGAGGGTGGGAAAGGTTCCTGCATTGGATGAGGGTGGGATACACAAGGACATAGTCCACCCCCCACCCCATACAGCCAGCACCGCAGCACTAGAGGTGGGGGTGGGAGGGTGAGGGCAGCGGGGTTGGAGAGAGACAAAGGCTTTTCCAAGGTCTCTGCAGTGAGTTAACGCTGAACTGGTTGTAGATACGCTGCTGGCTTTCCAGGTGTCAGCATTAGTGGGCCAGATACTCCGTGGGCGGCCAGTACGGTCACTCCCTTCTCATCCCGTGGTGTTTTATCCAGGGAGGTCTGGGCTCCCTTAAAGAAACTCCCGGGGTTGGATCAAGGGGTCTCTGAGCCACTATAGATAATATGACACAGAGGAGTATCCTTGGGTGTGCCATTGAACTGAGGAGGATGTTTGGGGATTGTGCGTTTGGAAATGTATATGAGTGGGGGGGGTGTCTACTGAGAGTTGGGGGTGTATCCTTGAGTTGTGTGTGTATGAGTTTCGGTGTCTATGAATCAGGGGATGTGTCTGTCTTCGGGTATGTTTGTTCTTTAGGATTTAAGATTTAGAATGTGTGTCTTAAATTGGGGTGCAGGTTGGGTGTATGTTGAAGTGTTGTATTCCTGCGTATTAGCTATCTGATTGACATCCGTGAGTTGGAGGTGTATGTTGGTGAATACCAGTAGACACGTTGAGGTGTACATCTGAAATTGTGTCTGTGTTGGTAGGTTGGGGAAAATGTCTGTGAACTGGGTGTCTGTACATGACTTGGGGTATATATACAGGAGTTTGGGAGTACCTGCGGGTCGGGGAGTTAAGACCTGGGCAATTCCACCGCTGCTTTCAGCCTGCCCTCTACTCCACGTCCGCCCTCCCCGCTTGTCTCCTACTTTGAGGCCCCTCCCAGCTGGGTGCAAAAGAGAGGGCACATCTGGCCTCACCCTCTGTACCACCCTTTCCGCAGAGGAAGCTCCGGGATTCTAGTGGGCTAGCCCATCCGCACAACCCCAGGCCTACGGACTCCCAACATTCCAGATCAGCCACTATCCGGGCCTCCTCTAGCATGTCCCTAGTGGTGGCGCACTGAGGGCCCCTCTCGGTAGGCGCCTCCATTTTGCTACGTCCCCGCCCCCAGCCTCGCCTCCCCTCCCCTTCGGCGCCCCCTCCCGCTCTCTCCGGAGCTGCAGAGCAGACAGCGCGCCGGCCGCGGCGCGCTCCGTGCGTCGGTGGGAGCCGGGCCGGGCTCGGCCGCGCGCTTGCGCCGGCTGTCGGGGGAGCGGGCCTTGGGCCGTCCGGGCCTTGCGGGCCGAGGGCGGACGGGGGCATGGCTGGGGGCCGCGGCATGCCGGCCGGGCCAGCATGATCGGTGTCAACAGCATCCACAGCAGCGCTGGGCGGCTGCGCTCGCGCTCGCTGTGTTCAGTGCGCTACGGACGCACCCACCGTGGCGCCGAGACCCTGTGTTACGGCTGGCCGCAGCGCTCTCGCAGCCTCAAGCCAGTGCTCTACACCGACTTGGTGGTCAGCCGCCTGCAGAGTCGCAAGAAGAAAAAGGCGGTGAGGGCGTTAGCGCCGCGACCCACGCAGGTGGATGCAGGGAGGTCTGATGGGGCGGTCTGAGGGAGGCACTGAGGGTATCTTAGGCTGAGGGCGTATCGATGAAGCCAAGGGCCAGAAGGGTCCCCAGCAAGAACAGAACTCATGGGCAGTAGGAGCTGGCATGGATTGGGGTGAGGGGCAACATACTGAGGGGCTATTGCCCTCGGATCAAGGTGGGCCTCAAAAACTAAAGGGTCTTTGGTGAGGAAGAGGGTCTTGTTAATGGTAGCAAGACATGAAACGCACTGATGGGGTTCAGGACACCAAGGTGGCTGTGGGCCAAAGAGGGTCTGGAGCGGGGCCAAGGGTGGTCTGGAAGCCTGGAGACAAGGGTTGCAAGTTGGGTCTTGGCCAGTTCAGTCTGCTAACCAGAGAGTAGGGGAGTGAGGACTTGGGGTATGAGCTACGCTGGGTGTGTGCTGGGAGGATTGTGTGCAGGCGCCTGGTTGTGTTGTGAGCTGCACCCACCTTGGCAGGCTGTGCACGGGTGGGATGACTAGCTGGTCATGGCCTGGGAAGTGGGACAGGCAGAGTCTGGTGTGCTGGAGGGTGCAGGGGGCTTGTGTCCCTTTACAGGGAAGGCGCCGACATCACGCTGCATCCTGATCACGCAGACAGCATATACGCCACACATTCAGCCTAACACGCACATGCTGGGGACACACCCACTCACATAGACTGGCGGAAGCGCCCCCCACTGTTGGAAGCACTGGCATTGATGCATGTACCAGGCCACTTCCCAAAAGAGGGCTTCCCTACATCATTCATGGAGCCCTAAGTACATCTGTGACCCCCTCCAAGGTCCCCAAATATTCCCAAACCAAGTGACTGGTTCAGGCACACAGAGGGAGTTTGGGAGCTGAAACTGCAGCCTTAGACTGTTATGTGAAGAGTGTAAGTGGGCAGGGAGCTGCTGGAGTACCCTGGCATGGGGACCGGATTTAGGAAGGCAATCTGTGTTGGTGAAGGGGCCAGTTGATCCTAGGAATGGGAGTGGGGGATCCTCTCTTAATGAAGGCAGGAGTTGGTAGGGTGAGTCCCTTTCTGGGACCTCAGTTTACCCATATGCTATGTGTAGTTGATTCTGTGAAAAAAAAGGACCAAGCACATGGTTGAAGGGAGAACTGCTCAGGCTGCTAAGGGCTTACACCCCCAGGGCTTTGCTTCTCTGTCCCAAGCCAACCAGGCTGGCCAACTTAACAAGGATGAAGATAATAACAGCTGCCATTACTGTGCATCAGCCATGTGTCAGAATGCCCTGTGCTAAGTGCTTGAGCTGTTATACTAGCGGATAGTCATCCACAGCCAAGTAGGTAGAGTGGAGTTGAGTCTGTGTTGGAGTCTCCGTTCTTGATCACTACAGCCTGCTGCCTCTCTTAGTTTTGTCCCCTCCCCAGTTGGGAGGAAGCCCTCTGAGCTCATGGTGCACTTCCACCTCCCCAGGACTGACCTAGCCTCCCTGATGTTTTCCTTCCTCCCCAGGCCTTATACAGTTCCATCAAGAATGAGAAGTTGCAGTGGGCCATGTGAGTCTTGGCTTTATGTGGAGACCAGGATAGGGTGTGGGGAGGGGCTGCCTGGAAAACAAAAGAACTAGGGTAGGCTTGGTCAGTCCTGGGCCCACGGTAAGAAGCGG